TGCGTTTTTTTTTGTCACCCCCCTCCGATCCCCAAAAAAAAAAAAAAAAAAAAAAAAAAAAAAAAAAAAAAAAGAAAAAAGTTATCCACCCTGCATGTTGTTCTTTAAGATACTCTGCCCAGATTCCACTTTTTAAATCCAGCAAATAGAAAGACCAGATTTAACGCATCAGCTTCTACTGAGATGTGACCTGTCATGTGCAGCAAATTTGTAAGTGGAAAGGCAAATACGTCTTGAACTGAAGCTTCTTTTACAGAACTCAACAGTTCAATTTAATCACCAGGATTCTACCCTTGATGGCCACCAAAAATGTCTCCTCCCTCATTACTAATCAAAGGCCCACTCTCTGTAGCATACACCAAGATATCAAGACTATACTTACACTAAAAATTTACCTTACTTACACAGTCAAAATGACCGTAGCATACACTGTATCAGCCCACTTACAAACCTTGGCTAAAAACTTCATGGACAGAGCTGGACCTCTGCCACTTCAAAATATCACGTTGTTGTTAACACTGTTAACTCATTTAGCATAAAATTTTATTTCTAGGTCTCAGCCACCTCTTTGGTCATACCTGAAGCTTTGTACCTGTTAACAACCATAAAGCGTATTGAACTCCTCGACCCTCTGTACAAGCCTCAAACAAATAAGCATCATTCCAAGAGGCAGACAGAATGACTTCTGCTCAAACTGAAGACAATCCTAATGTGTTTGGGCATTTTCAAGCACAAGGACAACTCAACCCATGGGAATATCTGCTGGACTCCAAGTGATGCAACAAATTCCTCAAATGATTAGGTGAGGTTCTTAACAGCTCCAACTCCTTTTACAGGCATGCGCACAGCCATCTGACCTGGGTGGGCTCGCTTTGCTTCAGCGGTGAAGACAGATGTCAGAAAGATGACTGGGAAGCATTGTTTACACCGGACTTCCACTTTGAAAACCTCACCTTAAATTAGAGTTTCACTTTAGAGTGTCACTTATTCTTCCAAAGGGCAATACAGTAAGAAAAGCTTTCATTTTGTCCTATCTTTATGGAAAATGAATGGAAGAGGTTCAAACTAAAGCAGAAGATCCATTAATCTTTTAAGAACAACAATGATACGAGGACCCCACAAAAATAGGCAAAGGGAGTATCTACCAAAAGATAGATTTAAGCCAGATCTTTCTGGAAATCTTTTCGTAAGAGTATAGGAAGTCATTAAAGGCCATGCAACGGGAACGACATGCCCAAATAGCACATAGATATATCTTCAAAGGGAAACCGCTTCAGTGATGCTAGGGAGTACAGCGTATGCATGTAACACTTGGAAACAGAGCACCTGCTGCTGTTTGTGCCAAACAGAATCGTTTCCACTGATGTATCAGTTTTATCGCAAGGACTTCCCAACCCCGTCCGGAGCAGAGCACCAGCATTACTGCCGAGTGCTTCATTTTGGCAAACGCCCGCTAGCCAGCTTTCAGGCTGCCAGGCAAAACAACTGCTGGTCCCATTCTGCAACAGCAGAAAGAAACCAATGAAGCCCATCGGCCTTCAAAATTCAGTACCTCCCACCAGAAAGAACCAGCTATGCTTTCTTGATGGAGTGTACAACCCTCATTTTGCGACCCAGTTGTTTATTCAGAAATTGGGAAAGAAAAGCCAGAGGACAGCACTGCAGCCAGTTGGGTATTTTTACCTACGTGGCTCTTCTGCCCAAGTCATTTGCCCAACCATCAGAGGGTGTTTTCAGAAAGAGAAATTGAGAACAAGTTTGGAGAAATTGTTCTATCATGGCAACTGCAATTTGCTGGTTATGCTGCCTCAAATATACACACTGGGAAACAATTTAAGATTCAAAGACAGTTTATCAACTAGAAGTCCCTAGAATTACAAACAAGTTAGATGGCATTTCTCCAACTATTATTGGATTTCAAAAGCAAGACCATCATTTATTGTAATTCTTAGAATGATTTCAGTAATTAGAAGTTCCATAGTAATGTAAGATCCACAGTTTTCCACAAGATATCACCAAGATTTTACTCAATAAAGCCCTGGAAAATGTTCTTTTAAAGCACTTTAACTGTCATTGAACTCAGACAAGCCATTGCAAAATGGTTCTACAACCGTTTTCTAAATATTTTACTGGAGTTCAAAGCAGTATTTTGAAAGTCTATCAAACCAGCGATAAGAAAACTTATTTAATTTCAGGAAGACAATACAAATCAGCACCCTTCAAATATCTCAATGGGCAATTTCACTATTTTCTTCCATTAAAAGCTATTTCATGGTTGTTTTTTTTAATCAAAATGGATGGCAATCATTCATAAACTTAACTACTGGTTGAATGATAGCATCTGTAAGGTTTTTTCCTGTCATAAACCTTAGGTGTGTATCATGTGGCATCATAAGATTTACCTACAGTTTTATCAACATAAAAACTTCATGATCTAACAAAAATACACAAAAGCTTGAAAATTGATTAGAAAAGAAAGTATAGCCAAAAAAAGCATGACTGACTTAAGCGAGGACAGAAACTCACAGGGGTATTACTTTTAGAAACTAAATCAGAATGGCAGAAGGACTCAAACGCAGCAGCAAGATAGGATAATTGGATGAACACAAAAATAATAGTTCCTTAAAAGAAACAACCCTTAGCACATTTAAAAACACAAGCGTAAATAGCAGAGGTTTTTATGCTTAACCGTATTACATCAGCTACCTGAAATTCCTATTTTTCCCACCTTAACAGAATCTTTGACCAAACTGAATTACAGACATAATCCTTAAGCAGGCTTTTTATGTCATTTCAGAAAACCAGCAATTTGAAAGTATACCAGTAAAATGTGGATGACGTACTAGGCTAGCACAGCTGTAAAACTCTGGCATTTAGAATCTGCCTTCAGTCACAAGTGAACAACCATTAGGGTATCCCCGTGTTCTTCTTGATGTGACAAGGTTCTCACAGGTGCTAGCAACTAAGCCTGACCATTTTTGCTTTTACTAAGTGGCAATGACTGAAGATTACAGGCACAGATACCTGGCAAAGCTTGTTTTCACAACGAATTTAATTCATGTTTGTTCAGATTCTCCTGTTAATTGTACAAAAATGTTAAAATTGTGTATTAATAAAAAAAAAAAATATATAAATGTATGAACTCTGGTTCCCCCCCCCCAGTTTCTCTCACTCTCTCCAATGATTCTGGCCCTCCTTCACAATCCTAAACTTAAATTTATTCCTCCTTTTGGAATGAATTCCAGGTTAGGCAGCAAGCTACGCTGAGAAGAGCCTGGTCTCATCTCCAGGCACTAATCCTACCTACATTTACTACTACAATATACATTATGGGGACACTTAATCTTTTAGAATGAATGAGTAGGAACTCCTAATTTTGTCTAACATTAGCACACATTTTTCAAGGCACAAGTATCCCAAATGGCAAGGCTACAAAGCAAGCGAAGTAGCCAGTATTTCACCTAAGCAAACAGAACTGGTATATCCACTCTGGTAACCCTGAAATCAACAATACAAAAAGGATATCCTGTCCAGGAAGCAAAACACACTAATTTGTATTATTCTCACTGTCTTTAAAATTGTTTTTCCTTATTTTCATAAAGCGTTTAAAGCACTATACAATTGAAGATCTCTTAGTAAAGGAGGCAGGCAAAGCCCTGCCATTCAGAAGCCATTTCAGATCCCTTTTCCCCGTCTCCTAACTGGCACTGCTACAAACATACTCTTCCCACTTCAAGGCAGGCAAAAGTCGAGAGCTACAAAATCATGTACGAACACTTAAGAAACACAACCTTAAATGACGAATGATGTGTTTCCAAAATAGATTAGATTTGAAAAAGAAAAATAAGTACTCGTGAAGTTCTTAATGACTTGTTTTCTCCCAGGCTACTTATAATCCCAGTTAGTCAAAACAGAATAAGAAAATGGCCTACCTTAGAAGTAATCCATTTGATAAGGATCAGAGCTAAACACCAGATCAATGCAATTCCCATTGGATCACCCCGAAGACGTGAAGCATAATCTCTTCCCTGATACCCGCCAGTGCTGGAAGCTGTGCAAGGGTTTAAGAGCTGGAGAAGCAGCGCGCAGCAGTAAAGCAGGCAGGAGGCAGGCAGCAGGCAGGCAGCAGGCAGGCAGGCAGGCAGGGGCTGCCGGCACGGCCAACAGCTGCGTGAAGCCTGCCGTCACCTGACAGCCCAGAAATTTGCTCCGCGTGAGCAGCACTGCCCTGTGCGTCTCACTGCCAACTCCGGGCTCAACAAGAAAGTTTTACAACCAGAGGACATGGCAAATAGTAAAACCTTACTAAACCCTACAGAAATGCTAAGGGACATGAAAAGCCACGACTGCGTGCCTTCACGGCACATATCTGAGCACAGCAAAGCGGGCTAGACTACAGGATCAAACTCCAGAACTCAAACCACCAGAGCTAATTCAGGATACTGCCTTGCCTTTAAATGCTGTGAAGAGCCCGTTTCCAGCAGATTTCGCCATAGCCGATATTCACAAGTTCCTTTTATCTTTGCCACCTGGAGAACTGCTATGAACCGAACTTCAAAACGTATTTCAAGGTTGCTTTAATAGCAACTTACTATAAATAATGAAAGAAAGTTAATGCAATGCACTGAATACATGCAATCATTGAAACCAATCACGGTTCTCTAATCTCTTCTTTTGTCCACTAAATACCAAGCCAACCTTCATACTACCTTTCTAGCCACACATACTCATGCCTGAACTGGCATGTTGCTTTGGTTTATTGCTCCAGGGGTTGAACTTGCCTACAATCCCCCTCCCACCCCACCTGGCACTTACCAGGGTTGGAAAGCAGACGAAATTCCTCTAAAAGCACTTATCAGGCCGCCAAGGGGTCCTATACTTGGCACAGCTTTAAGATTCATTTTTAATTTTTGTCATTTTGAAATGACAAAAAATGTTTCATTTCAGAAATACAAAGAAATCTCAAATAGTTTAGAAAAAAAGGGGAAAAAGGAACAGAGTGGGGGATATTGAGGAGTTTAAAAGGATGGAGTTGAATAACTGAAAGGAAAATTATATGAAGACTCTGCTCTTCCTGTAATTATTTTTTATTATATCATATTGAAAATTGCGATATGTGCACAAAATAGAAAAGTTAGCACAGATTACCAAGGGAGTA